ATAAAACATGACATTCCATTCAACAGATCTTATTTCATATACCGAAAATAATTTAACTTGAACATAGCTTTCATCTAGTATTACACTACTGTTGTATATTCACTGCCGGCAACTCATATCGCTCTGTATGAAAAGCGAATTGAGTGTGAATATATTGCAAGAATTGAGAGGGTCAAACATGCTCTTTTTTGAGGGATTAGAGATGTTTTTTGGACCGGTGTAATTAGATGGGTCTGGGGTATATGAGACACTATTTCTGTTCTTTTTGGGTTGATGTCTCTATGCTGGCTCATTTTGAGTTTCTAGTATAGAGCTCCCACATGCAGGTGTTCTCAGCAGTCGCACGGTACAGTGGCTAGTATGAGATTGTTTATTTTTGAGAGATTGAGATAGAGATGTGGCAGTGTCATGCTAACTCATGTGCGAGTGAGAGATGTTAGTAATGGGCGCCCATGTGGCATGACCATTTGAATTTAAATTTGAATCTTATCCAAATAGGTTTTGAAATTGAATTCAAATCTATTTAGGATAACCACTCAAGATACAGATATTATCTCCATTACTGATATGGATAGATAATAATAACATATTATATATCTGGTATATGGGTTATGGGTGAATATGAGAGAAACAACGTATGATCTGAGTTTTACCCATATACTGACTCTCTCCCAAAAACAACGATCAAGTCATTTGCACTGTGATTTGTGTGGGTGATATTCATTCTGTAATATGACTTCACTGCTGGGTTGGTTTATCAGATTCTGGAAGCACGTGATTTACCCACGAGGTTCTATCATCTAAAGGTATGATCTAAATATTTTTCCGCTGCATTCTTTATACTTTGATTTACAGGAGGAATAGGAAACTCTCATCTAGAGGCGGAGGAGGAGAGAGAAGGAGCTGGGTTTGGCTTTGGGTTTGTGTGTATAGAAATATATATACATATATATATATATATATGTGTGTGGGTAGTTTAGTTATTTTGCATAAGTTTATCCTTGTGAACAAAATATTTAGAATGTGGATCTTTGGGTAAAGAAAATTTAAATTTAGACTTTTGGACTGAGTGTCCTTAAAGAATATATGAGAGAGAGTTACCTTAAATAGTTTAATTAATTGTTACATCATTATATATGAAAAATGAGTCTAATTTTTGAATTTGAATAATAAAATGCCTTCTACAATACCTATCCTGAAAAAGATGTGTGTCCAGGATAGGGTGCAACTTGGCTTGCTCAATTCGAGTAACCTGAGTCTCAGTCGACTTTTTGTAGGGCTTATTTTTTAATTTGGTGCTGGATTTGAGTAAAAATTCAGAAATTCGAATTAAATTTGAATAGATTTAAATGAAGACATCGAATAAAGTAAAACTCGAATCATATATAGAAATATATATAAAAATATTAAATATTCATATAAATTATTAGCTAGTGGATGATATTAAAGTAATTTAAATTGCTAGATAATATTGAATATATATTATATATACAAGTAATACAATACAAAACCTTACATTTTTCGTTTTTAACTCTGAAATCGTAAAAACATTATAATTGTACGTCAATTTTTCAATTTTAATCTCTTTCAAATCGTATAAATTATTTATTTTGATATTATTAATAAATTCCTCTCCATTTACTTATATTCTACTTAATATAATTTTTTTTTATATTTCAGTAAATTCTATAAATGACATAATTATTAAAATATTCATAATAATAATAATAATCACACCCATAAAATATTATAAAGCACCATCCAATCACTCATTTTCCCCCATAAAACCAGAGACCAGACCACGGTTTTTACCCATGTTATTGCAAGCACCAAGCACAGCCACACTCAGCTGCAGCGCACCACAAACACAACAGCTGCACCAGACCGACCCACTCACAGCAGCAGTGCAGTGCAACAGCTTTCGGAGCTCCGGCAAGTATTGCATAGTTGTCTTCTTCTCCGGCACAAACCTCCGACGAATAAGACACTATCAAAAAGATCCCTCTCCTCAAAGAAAAAGGCAATAATCAAAGCACAATAGAAACATCCACCATAGCTCCGACAGTTAAGAAGTTTCGCTGGTCCGTCACATTCCAGTCCCCAAACCAGAACATGGGACAGTGGAACTTGCTTAGTTCCCAAGTTCTTGCTTGATAGACACCATATCCTCAGGTGAGAACCTTTCCACAGGAGAAGGATTGCGGAGAAACATATCTTGTTTAGTTTAACTCTCAAAACATAAGTTTTGAAAAAAAAATTCAAAATTTTATTTGGAAAAAATATTTTGTTGGAAATTTTTTTAAAAAAATTTTCAAAATCATTTTTTCTCTTATTAATATCTATTCAATTACAACAAAATATCAAATCATTTCAAACTCTTATATTTCAAAATTATTTTCAAAATATACGACTAAACAAATCAAAAAAATTTCTAAATTCTTTTTCTAAGATTTTTTTTTAAAATTTATTTCCCAAAATCAAATCAAACCAAACACACATTTTGATCTTCGCCCATAGGCAGGGGTGGAGGCATGTGAGGTCAGGGATCAAATGCCCTCTCAATTTTTAGAAAATTATGCTTGTTTCTTGTAAAAAAAAATTATTTTAATTGAAACCTTTCGAGTAATGTTGTGAAATTTTTATATCACTATTATTTTTTATTTTTAATATATAGGTTTAATTTGTCACTTTAAATGTTTAATTATGTTAAAAATTTCTTATAAATTTTTTTTTATCACCTTTTATATGTATACTCATAATTAGTTTCTTTATTTATAAATAATTATTATATAATTAATAACAATTAATAATATATTGCCACATGATTTAATGATTCGAAGCGGTAAAAAAAATAAAAAATATATAGTAGCTCCTATGTATTATTTATTCACCATTTCTTTTATTTCTTTTTCTATCCCTCTCTATATATCTGTTTTTGTGTGTGCATCTTTATATAATTTAATTGATTAACTTGAGCTTATATTTAAATATAATTTTTGTATCACACTAATTTGTAGTTTTGCTATCGAATAAAAATTAAGTTAAATTGAATTGTGAATTTTGTTTAGCTTTCAATTCAGTGCCCCTCTTGAATTCAGATCTTGGCTCCGCCATTGCCCATAGGCTACAACTAGGGGTGTGCATAATACCGTCGAAACCGCTAAAACCGCACCGAACCACACCGCCAAGGCAAATTCGTTATTATTTGCCAATTGAACCGCCGGTTTTTGGTAAGAAAAATGGCAAATTCTAGTGACACTTTTATCAATCCGCCGGTTTCTATTTTTCTTTTAAACCGCACCGACCCGCACCGCTATTAAATCATGTTTTATAAGATTCTAAAAATTCTTTTTTACTTAAGTTTGCTTGTTGTTTTATACCTTAGAATATAGTATTACATTACTGCTCGAGGGAAATTTTATGCATTGTATTTGATCATTGTAGCTTCCACAGATGCTTGTAATGAACTAATGTCATAGTCGTTGATATTATCATGTTGTTACTACATTTGCTGCATTAGAAGAAAATTTCGCAAGATGCTTAACATCACGGTATCTCTCATCTTTTTTTTACTCTTTGATTTAAGTTTTGTAATTTGAATTATATTTTTTATAAACCGCCAATCCGCTCGAACCGCCAAGGCAAATTCGCCATTATTTGCCAATCGAACCGCCGATTTTTGATAAGGAAAATGACAAATTCTAGTAACACTTTTATTAATCCGCCACCTGTCATACGGTTTCTATTTTTCTCTCAAACCGCACCGACTCGCACCGCGCACACCCCTAGCTACAACAGTGGTAGATGCGAAAACGCGCAAATTGTGTAAAGGAGTGTTAAAGTAAAATTATTTAGATTTTTGAGAAATTGAAGTAAGAATATAAAAAATTTTGGAAATCAAAATATTAATTTATCTTACAAAAACTCAAAATGACATGAAAACAATGAGATTTTTCAAATATTTGGGGTGACTAAAATACTAATTTATTTTATAATTACTAAAAATTACATAAAAATAATGAAAATTTTTAAAATTTAAGATAGCAAAATAAAATTCTTTAAATTTTGGAGAAGTTGGAGTAAAATTATATATATTTTGAAGGGTTCACAATATAAATTTCTTTTATAATTATTTAAAATAGCACGGTAAAAGTGTAATTTTTTCAAAAGTTTGGGCCGCCACCCCTGTCTGTGCCACTGGGCTCCAAACTGACTTAAGATCTCATTTTGATGTTCGGCCTAAGCCTAAAAAAGCCATAGGCCGCTGCCGTAGAGGAAAATAGATTTTCATGGAACTTGAAGGTAGGAAATGGATTAGGAGCCGTTTGGTAAGGTTTACGTTTTTTTTTTTTTTTGTTTATGTTTATAAAAATTTTATAAATAAATTTTTATTTATTTTTAAAAAAATATAAATTATAAACACGTTTGGTTTGAATAAAATATTTAAAAAAATTTAAAAACATAAACTAAAAAATATGTTTGTTTAGCTCTAAAATATTTATATTTATTTTTATTATTTATGACAATGGGATCA